TATATATATATATATATATATATATATATATATATATTTATATATATATATATATATATATATATATATATATATATATATATATATATATATATATATATATATATATATATATATATATATATATATATATATATATATATATATATATATATATATATATATATATATATATATATATATATATATATATATATATATATATATATATATATATATATATATATATATATATATATATATATATATATATATATATATATATATATATATATATATATATATATATATATATATATATATATATATATATATATATATATATATATATATATATATATATATATATATATATATATATATATATATATATATATATATATATATATATATATATATATATATATATATATATATATATATATATATATATATATATATATATATATATATATATATATATATATATATATATATATATATATATATATATATATATATATATATATATATATATATATATATATATATATATATATATATATATATATATATATATATATATATATATATATATATATATATATATATTGAAAAATTGTTACAAAGTATAAAGATTTCAGATGGCAATTAACTATTGCTGGAAGGCCATATGGTTTAAACCATATAGTGGAATAGTTGGTGGTTCATTCCACTGTGGCGACCCCTGATAAATAAAGGCAGTAAGTCGAAGGAAAATTAATTATTGAACAGCAGGCAGCCCCCTGTAATATTGTCGTGGCCGACCAGTTGAAAAATCACTGGTATATATTTTAATTCTTTCTCTCTACAGAAAAAAAAAGATATAGAAATAAAAAAAACCCAGAACAATTACAAAACCGAACTAGTTTTTTTCTTGTAAAGCACACAATCTTATTTTTCAACGCATTTCCAACTTACAAAAATATTTTTTTGACAGTGAAGAATAAGAGGGAAAGATGAAATTGAATTGTGTGAATAGTGTGTAAATCAAAGGTTTATTTCAGTGGTTTGCTTGTGCTTTTATGTGCTTTGATGCTTGACAGCAACTGTCAGCATCACACATAATTACACACTACAGTTAAAAAAGATGTTAGAAAACAGCTCTGAAATCATGTCACACTCACACTTATCTACAAATGTTAGCAACAAATGTGTTATCCAGGTTGCGATTATAAAGACAGTTTAACTAACTGGAACTTTCCTAGCTGATGTTCCCTTTTAGTGACAAAACGGAGACACTTGATACACCATGATGCATTGTAAACTATCGGTTATTTTATTTTAAGAGAATCTGACTTGAAGTCAGAAATACAAAACTACAGTTGATAACAAAGTCAAAACCAAATAAATGAAGTCACTAGATGTGTTTTTGTATTGTGTATCCATATACTGTATATATTATATCTAGATAGTTTAATACAAGTACATATTAATAATTAATTAATTATTAAATATGGTTTATTACATTTTAGTTTTAGTCATTTTAGTTATTCCATTTTTATAGCACACAAATGTTTTTTGGCAACCAGCTAAAATAAATAAATAAATAAATAAATAAATAAATAAATAAATAAATAAATAAATAAATAAATGTATAAATAAATAATACCTATAATAATAATAATAATAATATAATAATAATAATAATAATAATAATAATAATAATAATAATAATAATAATAATAATAATTACTATTATTATTATTTATTATTATTATTATTATTATTATTATTATTATTATTATTATTATTATTATTGTTATCATTAAATATATAAATAAATAAAACTATTTTCAAAATAAAAAAGAACTGCATATCAATTATAGTAAATTCATACTATTATTAAAATTAAATTCATTACTATTATTGTTGTTTTGTGTTCATTATTATTATTATTATTATTATTATTATTACTATTATTATTATTGTTGTCGTTGTTCTTCTTATTTATTTATTTTAGTTGGTTGTCAATTTATTTTGCTAAAAAATAAATAAATAAATAAATAAGAATAATTACAATAATAATAA